ACCTTTGTTTTGGACAAGACTTAATTTTGCCTATTAATTAGTCAGGAGAATGTTCTATTCCAGCTGCCAAACTGTTACCCAGACCAGGGGTTTCAATAATAGCTGGATAGCACGTAGATCTACCCCTTGTAATATGAGCGGACTACCCGCTTGTAGTCGTCCGGGTAGCTGAACACAAATAACTAAGATCAGATAATTTTCTCACGGCTAAGGATTCTCTTCAAGAGATTAGGCAAAATAAGTCTTATGTTATAGGTAAAGAAAAAGAAAGGTACAAGAAAAAACAATTGGAGGTGAAAAAAGGCACTTCAGCTGAAATTGAAAGGAAACTGGGTCTAAGCATGAATAATAATGGCTGCCAAAAGGCAATTCTTATTAGGATATTTCGCCCCAGCATCAAAACAAAAGAGGTCGAAGGAGAATGATTCTTTGCAAGGTTGGTTGAGTATATTTTAAGGGATACATTTCGGTGTTTAAACATTAATTTTATGCTTCTTTTCATGATGAAATGTGATGTATCGTTCACGAATCAATTTGAATACGAAGAATTAAAAGACCACATGTTATCAACCTGGTCTTTCAAATTGACTGACTTCTAGGAACAACAAAGCAACATAAAAATAGGCTTTTACATGGCTTAATTAATTAATGAATAAAATGTTGACCCTAATCTAGAAGGGCAACTCTTAAAGCAAGCAAAATAGGGTTACCCCCCTCCTAGGGTAATCTTATCTTGCATGTAAAGAAAACCAGGAAAAACAATAGAGGAGGGTGACCTTGGTAACCCGAAGACAAAGGACTCCAAGTCACCTCAACCTTGATTTAGCCAAGTAAACCAAATCTTAAATTAAATTAAGCTTTGTTTAAATAACTCATCCCTAAAGAGTTTTATAAGTAATTTGCATTTGAAATTACTTGGAAAGTAATCAGGTAATATTCCTTCTCTCCAACCAGCATAGCAATAAATTATTGAGAAACTGCCATCTTTTGGGAATTTTGTAATCCCCTGGCTAATGTGTAACATTATACCTTCAGGCCAAGCCATCTTGGTGTGACTGAAAATCAGAAACGATGGCTTGTGGCTGGAATAGCACTCAACAAGATCTTCATACCACAGATACGTCCATTTGTGGAACAAGGCATCAACACTGAATACAACAACCTCAAGACCAGCCACAATATTCAGGGACAGAGCACATCTGGACGTCTTCAACGATGGCCAGCTAGAAAAGTGTTGAAATATGAGAACATCAATGGAAATAATGTTCATCCCAGACTTCCTGGTGGAAGATTCAATTATTCTCTGTTTGACTGTCGAGTGATGTCTCATGTTGACTTTGCCAGGCTGTATGTTGAGAACTACATGGCCCACTTCAATGCCTTTGATGACCACTGTGATGCATCTGCTGTGTTGATGTTACTTGGTGGGGTCCCTGCATTCTCTGCGCCTGTACAAACTGCTGCAGCTGATGTCAGAATGGCGAGAAATGACTGGGCACACTGTGTCTTCAGCAAATGGGATCAAGTCAAGTATCAACAAAGTTTTATTGATATGGAACACCTAGTGAGAGTCATGGCCCTTCCAGCTGCAGATGAAGGAAAACTTCTTGGAGAACTAAAAGACTGGGAAACTAAAGGTAATGTACATAAAATGTACACTCAGTGAATCCTGATTTCTCGAACCACCCAATAACTCGAACCTGAAAAGCTGTCCCCTTCCACTATCGGGCATTGCAATTCTCCCGGATTTCTCAAACTACCCAAATTTCAAACTAATTTTTGTTTCCCTCAGAGTTTTGAAAAATCAGAATTCCACTGCATGTTAAAAAAAGTTAAGTGTGTGTGAGAAATGTGATTAATGACCAAGCTTAACTACTGAATTTTGGCAGAGAACTTTTTTTAGCTCATGCACTGTAAAATTAATGTGGTATTCTAACTCTTTTTAGTGAATGTAAGTCTTTTTAATTAGGTAGTTATTTACTTTTGATACAGTTTAATGCATTTTCATGGAGTAAACAACAAAGACTACCAGCCTTACCTTTGCAGTCAGTGGCATTTAGATGTGCACGTGCACCAAGATTCCACATGCTCTTGGATCAAAGTACCTTTTAGTGGTTTGCTTGGAGTGAGAGTTTCCTTAAGCATGAGCATTTCTTCAAGTGTGGGGACTTTTTTCAATTTAGGCTCTTCCCCCACCACTACATACCCTCCTTCACATTCTACTGTTTTATCAGTGTGATGGGTGCCTGCATTTTCCCTCTGTGTCAGGGCCCTTGGATGGGTTGCCAGGAGTAGCCTGCCATGGGAGCTGTCTCCATCTAAGAGCTGGCTGCCAATGGTGGAAGCTCCTGGATTTCTCAGGCACCCAACCTCCTCCATTTAACATAACTTAGTGGCAGGTTCACATCAGCTCTCCTGCTTAGCTGCCTGTATTAGTATCCAACATTGTCAAAAAAAGGATGTATGTGCATGCAGGCATGCATCTATAATTATGTTTATCTGATGGGCTGTACATGTACAGTCACTGTATATTTGTGTAAACCAAAAAGGTTGTAATACTGCCTTGACTGCAATATGTGACACGTGTCTAAATCATCTGCTACAACAATACATATACATGCAAATGAACTGATTGTAAAAACTGGGAATATGACTGATAAATAAGATTGAAAGCGTTAAAAATAAATTATTTACCACATAATTTTATATAGTTTGAAACCATACAGTAATTTGGTAGTCACGAAACCTCCCTGCAAACCCTCTTCAATCCAAATGATCACCTCTCCTAAGCAACTGCTCTTCCAAAATACCAAATTTCTTCTTGTCGAATCACTATAGTTAGCACCTCTCATATACAACCAATTTTTATTGACGTGATGACAACCCATGACTTTCATAAGGGCTGAAATTTTCCATAATTGTCTTTTTCATATTGACATTACTATGGGCAGCGTCTGGGTAACAAGATGCCTTACAAGTTCTGATATGAAGATAAAGTTTGTCCTTACATCAGGGCATTAATTGTTTCTCATATTCATTGTTGTGGGTGATTCTTGGTTCATAAAGACCACAATTAGTATCACTATTTTGAAATCATGCTGGAGGCAATGAAATCTTTTCTAATTAGTTAAGTCAAGATGTGTGTGAAAATAATGTCAATTGTCAAAATCAGCCAATCAGTGTTAAGGATGACAGCATGCTCTTGTCATCAGTTCAGTTTACAACATAGCTGTGTAGCAATGCTTTTGTTGTCAAAATAAAGCTCTGTTGAGTTTATGGAGTTAACTGAACCTGATTTATACAATCTGTTTTTGTCTAAAGCCTTTTGGGTTTACAGATGCATTTGCCATAGGGCAACAGGTTATGACTCAAAATTTAGACTCTGTGCAGTCTTGCCTCTCGTAAGTGACCATTTTTTGGCATTTGAGGTGAAGTAACTCCGATACGTTTTAAAGATGTTCTTTGGATCAGTTTTAATCATGGCAGGTGCAAACAATTTTTTCAACCACCTTTTTTTTACAGCCCCNAAAAAAAGCCTTTAAGAAGAAGTTATCAACCCAAAACATTTGAATACCTTCTGGGAAGAAATCACAGGTCTTTGGTGTGACTGTGTCGTAAGACCTTCAGCAGAAAGTTGTCTCGCTAAACTGCCATTATTATCTAGTTATCATTAAATTGGCACTGATCCTCTTTATTTGCTGTGTTGGCAGGAACACATCTCTGCATAAATTCCCCTATAGACCCAGCATTGTTACAACTGGTTCAACAAGAACTTAAGTCACTACAAGATGATGTGAAGAACATGTCTGTAGAACTTGAAGATGAGAAGAGAAATGTCCAACATGAACTGAAAAGTGTTGCAACAACTCTAGAAGACATGAAACAGAGGGTGCAAATTCTGGAGACTGGTCAGCAGACCTTAGAGCATCGTAGTGTATTATTTGAGGACAGAATGGATAATTTTGAAGGTGACTTATTAAATCTTAAGTAATGATTACTATTCATTAAATATTTAAAAAAATATTTGTTGGAGAAAGTAAGTATGGCTGGAGCTAGGAACTTGATACAACTTGTAATTAAATGACAACTGTTCAAAATTCTGCATGCAGAAGATGCTCACAAACTTGTATGGACACATTGATATATAATGATAACTCACCAAACTAAACATCCTATAAAAACAACACACAATTTTGTTGTGGTACAGAGTGAAGTGTAGTTAAGAATATGAACTATTAAACAACAACTGATAATAAAAAATCCCAATAAAGCTCTCTGCCACCCTCATTACAAGAATTTGAAAAATAAATTCCCAGGATGGGTGGATGAGTTGGATTCAGAGACAAAATAGTACCAACACAACCAACCCAAATTTGTAAACTGACTCAAAATGAAACAAGAACCTGCTTAACCTGATACCAGGGGTGTAGGTTGGACATTTATTCCTTTGAGGACGCTTGTGCCAGTCCAAAGGGGGTAACATGACTTTTGAACTAATTAGTATACTTGGAAAAGCTTAGTTTGTTTATTTAATTTCTGTTAGCAACAGTTGTATTTTTTTCAAATAAACAGGGTAGTTTAGTTTTGAACCTGTTTTATAAAAAAAACTGTGCGATGTTTGATGGGTTGCTCACAGAGTTATATTTTTTGTTTTGTGAGTGTTCATTTCTATGTCATGTTTACATTTTGCAACGTTTATGTGTAATACAGGAGCTGTAAACCAGAGGATGGAGAAACTTGAGAGAAGTAAGCAGAGCACAGAAGACAAAGTGCATCATCTTCAAGGTGATTAAAGTATTTAAATTGGAACTTTTTCCTGTAAAATTAACACGTTTAATAAAAAACTGTTAGTTGTTTCAGGGCTTCAAATAACGGCCAGTCAACAGACAATGTTGGGTCAAAAATAGGTTTTGTCTTGTCAAATCCTTAGATGGCCAGACAATTTGTCCGGTTGTTTACGCTGGTAAGGAAAAAATCTAGAGTTTCAAGTTTTAATATTTAAAGGTTCAATATTATTGGCGTTTGTGAAAAAGGAGGGAAAAAAGGCGGATACTTAACTACCAGACCAAGAACTTTTAATAAATGATTCGTACTATTCATAAAATTTCCGGCTATTGTTGCAAAATTTCACACAAATGTGATACTGATTTTGCTGTACCATGCATTCCACTTTTCCTGCATGGAGATCGATGCTCATGTACAATAAATGCTTTGAAAATTTACTTGTTTCATATTTAAACATCATGTGAAGGGGGAAGGGGGCACTTTTATAGCAATAAGACGTAATCGATGTTTGTCCGGCCAAGAAAGGGATATGTCCGAGCAAAAATAGGTTTGACCGGACAATTTGACCAGCACCAGCCCGGAAATTATTTGAAGTCCTGTGTTTGATGGGTTGCTCTCAGAGTTATATTTTTTTGCAAGTGTTCTTTTTCATGTCGTATTTACATTTTATAACGTTTATTTGCAATACAGGAGTTGTAAACCAGAGGATAGAGATACTTGAGAGCAGTAAGCAGAGCACAGAAGACAAAGTGCATCATCTTCAAGGTGATTAAAGTATTTAAATGAGAACTTTTTTTTGCTTGTAAAATTAGAAGAGAATTATTTTAAATTTGTGTAAAATGTGAGAGGAATAGACATTGTACTTGTACTCAGGTCATGATTACGTTTTTACCCCTCCCACGCACCAACTCATACCCAACCCGACCCTACCTTACCGAGAAAATATATTAGGATGAGGTTCCGCACTCTTTTGCACGTTGTTTAGTCTGATCCAGGAGGGAGAGGTGAACTTCGCTTGCGTAGCCATGCGATTGCGCGCTCGATGATCTTGGCCATTATGACATCACTCGTAAGCCGGCCCGTGAAGTTTCAATGGCTGCTAAAATAATGACACCAGAAAAGTTTTTCATCCAATGATTGCTCAAAGAATTTGAAAGAAAGCGATCAACAGACCACAGGAATAAGATAACCTGTTAATGTTTTGTCCAAAAATACTTTGGTTTTCAAAAACTAGA